TAAACACTGAAAGGCCCAACTTGCACATTGAAACATTTTCATCCATACAAACAGTGAAGTATGAGTTAACAGCAAGTGGAAAATCAGGAATCAGATATTTCAGAAGAAAAAATTACCTGAAAGATCAGGTAAATCCCAAACTCTGCAAGAATATGAGATCAGCATACAAGTCATATGTACAGGAAAAGGAACACAAGTCTGGAATGTCACAAACTGTACCCAGAAAGTCTGCTTGTCCTTCAAAGAAACAAACTAAGGAGAAAGCAATTGAAGATGCTGACAAGGCACGGGTGGAGCACACACATAAACTGATGAAGAAAGTGGAGAAAAGGAAATCTGAAATGCATGAACTACCTTCTAGTAGCAAAAAAGTACTGAAAAAAAAATGACTGGAGTAAAGAACTAGCAAATGAGAAATACTTAGAGCATCAAATACTTAACTTTAGGTACGTTAATCATTTTTTATTGTAGACCATAATAGAAGATGTTTCTGGATTTGGTATCATATGGAATGGTGAAGAAATTTAGTAAATGATGCTCTATGTACTCTATTATGTATATTGTAAATAATATGGAAAATTAAATGTTTAAAACATTGTAAAATTATAATCTTACCCCTATGAAATAGTGTTTTCTCTACATTTTAAAATGCAAAAACCTCTGGTTTCGGGGGGCTTTGCCCCCTCGACCCCCATTAGGGGCTTTGTTCCTGGACCCCCAGCCATTGGGTATGAGTCTGCTCGCTACGCTTTGCAAATCTCCTCTTTTTTTAGTTTGCTGCACTCACATCCCTGAAAGAATAATAATACAAAAACAGATAGCATATGTATGACAATATCAAGAATGTATATGTTATGTCTGCTCACAATAATGTATTTCTTGTTTGGGCATATCATGAACAAATTATTTTCACCTGCCTTGCAGGTGTAATCAACATCAGACTTTATTTATGTACTTTGTCATCATGGGGAGGCATTCCAAACATTCCAAGTTTCTGACATCACATAGGGGGTCAAAATGCGATGAACCACAACATGAATGAGTCATGACTTTTGTACTAATATTTACTCCTGGAGAATCTGCAAATGACATTAGAATTGTTATTTGGTATGGTTGGCTTGCTTGAAATCTTACTTTGTAGGAAATGAAAATGGTTTGGGTCTTGTATCAATATACAGTAACAAACTTGAGATGTAGATGTTGTTGAACATCCTTTAATTCTAGGAAAAACCACACTCATTTGAAAGCATAGATAGTGGTCATTTTACCTCAAGTTGTTAAAAATGTTCATAATATTTTATGTTTGTTTCTAGATTACGCATTTATAATCAAAGCTGGTACAGACCAAAGTGATAGTTATGTCTTCAGTATTTCAAAATCAACACCCATGGAATTTGTTTAACCCTCCAGCAAAGCAGGATATAGAGAGATAAGATAAGACTTCAAACCGCAAGCAACTAAACATATGGGATATGATATAAGACAATATTTAATGTCCACTCATTCATCAAGACTATGGAAGGGGGCATTTCAAGGGCACTCTTGTGAAGAGGAGGGGGGTATTTTTAGAGCCCTGATTGAGATACAGTGGATAAGGGGCTCTAGAGGAAGGGGCAAAGGAAGTTGGGCAAAGGAAGTGCCTGCATGGATGGCTAGCGGTTATCTCTCTCGTGACATGTAAGGTTTGAGATTATGAAAGTGCAAATTGGCCAGTGGTGGGTATAGTTTAATGTGTGTTAGATGGCTTTATCTGTAGATCAGGGCAACATAATCACCTGATTTATTATGTATTTATGTTTTTCTTTTATCATATTACAGCAATACTTGAAATCAAATCAGAATCTCAAAATCTGTGCATCATCTGATAAAGATTATTGTGTTAATAATTTGTGTTTAAGTGTCATGTATATTTTAGCAGTCTTCTATCTAGCAGAAAAAATGTTAAACACAAAAGTGTTATTTACATCTACATGTATATGAAATCTGTGCAGTTGCCTGTTTGTAATTTGTAAGTTAAAGAAAGCCTGCAGTTAAAACTAAGCCTTGTTCTCCATGTATGTGAATGAAAGATGCATGCAATTTATTTACAATGAAAATATTGAGTTCAGCAGTTCAACTGTTTGCCATTGACTAAGATTACATAGAAAAAGAATGTTGAGATGTCTTATTTGCATTTAAATATTAGTGATGTGTATGGATTCTAGATCACCTAGCTTTAATATACCTCAAACCCACAAAAGTCCTGTCTTGTTCTGTGAATCTTTTCCCACATCTGTCTATATCCTTCTTTGCGTCACTGGACCACAAAACCAACAAGACAGAGAGGTGGTGCTGTTTACTCTTATTCGTTTACAGCTTGCTTTCAGAGTTAAAGACTTGTAAACAACCATTACGAAACACAGGGTGTAAGTGACACTGGTGACACACACTCATTCTGTAACAATGCATGTTTAACCAGTTTAAGTCATAAACTTGGAACACATCCTTATCTAAAGGGAGGGGCACTGCATGGAAGATCCCTCTTTGATGAAGATCTGTTGCTTGGAGATGCTTTAATAGTGTCAGTCTATTGTGATGTTTGTAAGTTGTCAATGAATAAGGATTGAATAGAGTGTGGGTAATAAAAGAGGAAGTTTACCAAGCCTCTATCTATTGTGCCTTTAATCTGAAGAACTAACAAATCTGTACCAAGTTAACACCAAGAGGACAATCACACATCCATTGTATGAATATAATTGAGTGACTCAGTTGTATTAAAGGAGGTCTCTAAGAAAATGCAATCTGCTGTTATTTCTATTGGTCAAACATGTGAGAGCTTACAGGTGTATAGTCATTAATTGGGATAGAATCCATGTTTTTTCCTCCATCGATCTATAATAAGTAGATCAAGCATGTGTGAACTTGTGTGTAGAGTACTATATATTGGTAACATACAGAAAAAAGGCAAGGAACACAGGAAAATAAGTTTTCTGTTGTTTCTAATGCAGCTTTTACCAGGAAATTATTATAATGAAACAAGAAAGGTAGCAGCTAAAGAAGGTTTGACAGCATTGAACATCTTCGCGCTTCCGGTACTCAGGAACACTGACCACTTTCGGAACTGGGAGACTCTTGAGAGGAGGAAGTTATCAGCTCCTTCTATATCCTGATTTGATAACATGATATAAAATTCCCTTTTTTTTTATAGTAAAAAACCGCCATGGTCACAGTTGTCTTTTCAATTATTCTATATATATATATAGAGAGAGAGAGAGAGATTCAATATGTCATTAGTGACACATCCTCAAAGTTCAGTACTATATATACCTATTTATCTATATAAGGTGTGGATTAAAATAATTTGAAGGTCTTTTAAAAAGCTACTGGCTACTAATGCATTCTGGCAAGTCTGATCCAGATGTCTGGAGAGAGCACTTTTTATAGGTCTGTTTTCATCAGCTCGTCTTCATCGAAGTACGGAGTCAACTTCTCGATCTCACCATGCACAACGATTTGTGAATAAACTGTACAATGTACATGCATGTGTGTACGATAGGACGCGTAGCACATGCGGTCTGCCGTCAGATGTTTTACAGCGCGGGTAAAATCTTAAATCCACAAGCTAATCGTACAGTTGATCTCTGAAGTGCGCATGCGCCTATCTCTGGGTTATTTTCAGAGCTAGTATGTGATGAGCGTATCGGTCTGGTGAAGACGCAATTTCCAGCTTCAAGAAAAAATCCCAAGTCTGAAAATACTGGGTTATTTGGCGAACTCGAGCTGATGAAGATGGGCCTAATGTGTATCCATTGCACCGAAATATCAAAGTAATTTCTCATAGCAGGGGTTATATAACTCACATTTTTCAAACTTTTGAGATGTTGAAGTTGAACCTCCAAAAAAGAAGTTATGTACAACCTAAGGAATCTTGATGAGACATCAAGTATCAAGAAGGCAATTTTGAATTTCAGATTTACAGAAAAGAGCATTCAAATTGCTAAATGAAACAGGTTCATTTAGGAGAGGATATGAGGGATATAATGTGCGACTCAAGATACTGAATGCTAATAACATGTTTATAGTAAGTGCAGGGGCAATTGAATTGTTACAGAAAAGAGAGAAAGAGAGAGGGGAAGGCAAAATGAAAGGAAGATGGTACAACCCCTCCCACACCCTCCCTTCACTTGATAGCCTTGTTAATTCACATTTATCCACCCAATAAAGTACACCGTTAATCTCCGTGTATAAGGCGCACCTGTGTCGTTTTTTGTTTTTGTTGTTGTTTTGTTGCCGAAAACCCACGCGGGGAAGGACTTTTATTTAACATCGAGATGCAGTTGAAGGCGCCGATTTGTGCTTGTGAACTTGTCACAAATAATAGTAACAATGTCATTTTTAGAAGAATGTGTAAGATCATTAATGTAAATTAAAAAGTCCTAGGATAGAACCTTGTGGTACACCATGTAATAGAAGAAAAATTTGAGGAATTATTATTATAAACTACATATTGAGATCTATTAGAAAGATTACTTTCAAACCAAAATGACAGACAAATTTGAGTGTTGTTGTAGTTTCCGAGTGGTGAGTCAACACACAGATTACTGAGCTGGGAGACATTGCCAGGCATAGCGTCGGGCATAAATCAAAACTTAAAAAAAAAAAAAAAAAACTACTTGTGTATAAGACGCATCCCCGACTTTCAATTTTTTTTCGGTGGCAAAAAAGTGCGCCTTATACATGGAGATTTACAGTAATGCCCCCAATGACATCATGCAGTATCCCCTCAACTGCTGGACCCATTCTATGCCTCTGTTGGATATACAGAATCTGCTTTATAATATTACACTGGAAACATTGCTATTAACGAGCATAAATGTACATGCTATATCAATCCTCATTCATTTTTTATTACCAAGCTCCATTTCAATCATAGTCAGATGACCAATCACTTTTTTTATAGCTGATGAAGTACGAATTTAATAACGTTGGGTATTCTCTTTCATTATCTATTCATTATGCAGTGACCAGTGAAAAGGGTCAAGTCATCGGTGGATAGAGGCAAGGATTTATTCAAGCTTGGCATCGATCACTCATCTCAAATTAACAGGTAAGTTTGCAAGGTAGTCATAATTAACTCATGGTGTGGCAGGGATTTTCTGTGGATTAATTTAATTTATAAGCTGTATAGAGGCGAAACCAATACAGCTTTATTTCAGATTCATCTGTAAATGAGGCTTGAGTACTGTGAGTAGAAGCACTATAATGTACTGTGCGTAGTGGAAAGGAAACTTATGATGAATCTAAAGATTACAGAGTGTATTCAAGAATCTCATGGTATTAGAGTGATTGACGGTACTTATATGGAAACTAAAAAGTCTATAAACAGTGTCTAAAATTTCAAAATGATTGCTTGCACTTTGTTAAAATAGACATTGATTAAAATAGATATCGCATGTCAATGAAAGCTCATGAATTAAAGAAAGCAAAACGTGTTGTATTCTTCACCTAAAAATACATATGTGACCACAATCAGACATTTAAAATTAAATTTTGGCATCCCCCCCCCCCCCAATAAATGAATGAAACCGAAATCATACAAACTGGCGGCTTCGATGATACGTAGGCGTCTAGGCGATTGAAGCAATGCCACTTCCGGATTCACACAACGCCGTATCAACACCATGCTAGATGATCGATGGCAGCCATATTATCATCAATTTTAATGTACCGGTACCTAGCATCTTTGCAATGAAGAGGGGGAGCTGTTTCCATGATTAAGATGCACTGTTATTTATTTTTGCTCATTTCTTGCTTGAGTGCAAGAAAATAAGGGTGTCATATTTGGCTGATTTTAATTAAAGTCCTGTGGGCAGGCAGTCTGTCATCTCTAAATGTCTTCTGGTTAGCATGCCATGACATTGATGTACATCAGGAGAGGTTATTTCAACAGACTGTGCTCACATCTCAGGTACATAGCTGAGGCTTGAGGCATTCCAAGGGTGCCTCAGCTCAGTCCAGGTATGTGGGCAGCACCGGTCTCATCCATGTTGTTTTCTCTGTCACAGCGGTTAAAGGCAAAGCATAAGTTCAGGAAAAGTCTAGAAATGTGAAAGATTCATCTCATGAAAATCGATTTTGACAACTGAACAAATCTACATTGACATAAGCATGGTAAATGATGATGATTTTATTTGATAATGATTATAAATTGATGACATTGATTTGATAATTTTACATAACTACTAATAAAGCAATTACATGTATATTGTGGATTATTAATGGGGCAAAGCATTCAAGGATATACATGTACAGGCAATAAAGCATCAGCTTGTCTGTGAACCTAGGACTACCAGGTTTAATACAAGGCCATGGTTTATGACTGAGCCACCATGCCGCCTTTCTATTATAGTATTAGCATGTTTGCCACATTAAAAATTCTTTAAGATACAAACAGCGTGTCCACACACAAAACAGTTTATCCCGAAACTCTATAACGAAACGTCATATAAAGAATCATCGTATAAATTTCAGAGTGTCCTCACACACAAGAAACGTTGTATAAATAATTATCGTATAAATTCCAGGATGTCCACACACAGAAGAAAGTAATCCTGAAACTCTACAGCGAAATGTCGTATAGGTGCGCAGTTTGCTACTGCAGTCATGAAATGGAAACAGAAATGAGAGGTCTGGTCTCCTTTCGCTCGAGGTCACGTTAAGCCCCGTCCAGTTAGTTACACTAGTTACACTCCCCCTGTCCACACACAACATTTTTCGTGAGTAGGCGTGATTCTTTATTGAGTTCTAGTTCGAAACGATGCCCAAACCTGCGTTTCGTTAGACTAGTTTCGTTATCCGACGTATCGTTAGTGAGCGTCCACACACACAATTTCATCGTAAAACTATTGCGAAACGGTATCACTATCGCAAAACGGTATAGCTAATCACGCTTAATCACGGAAAATGTTGTGTGTGGACAGGGGGAAATTTTGCCTACAATTCAAGGCAAGATGGATATTGATATTCATGTATACTCAAGAATCTTGTTATTAACCCATTACCTACGGGAAATAGTGGTCCCTGTATTAAGTCTATGGGAATGAGAGAATCCAGTAGTCCATGGGTTAATATGGAGTAGCTTAGTATGTACTCTATAGACCTGTTTTCATCAGCTCAAAATTTCCAAATAGCCCGCTATTTCTGATTTGGGAAATGATCCTGAAGTTAAAAATTGCATCTTCATCAGCTCAAGACTTTACCTCGAAACTTGAAACTCGAGCTCGAGATATTTTGCTCAGCATTCAAGCATAGTGCAAGTCTTCCGGCTGGTGAAGATGCACTGGACAAATGGCAGGATATTTTGCCAAATGGCGGAATATTTTGCAAACTTGCCCAAGATATCTTGGGATGATTATCTCGTCCAAATATCCTGCTAATTGCAACTTCAGCTGATGAGGACGCAAATTAACTGGAGATTTTGTGATCGAGATATTTGACAATCTTGAGCAGATGAAGACAGGCCTCATGATGCTTTGTTCACCTCATCATCTTGTCAGGGACCTCAGGTTAGCTTGTCTTCTATTCTTGATATTGACATTGATGTAGGAGGGAGATTATCCCAACAGTCTGTCAGCAGGTATTCCTAGGGGCCCTAGCTAGCTGAAGCTGGGATGTAAGTCCACCAAGCCAAGGCAAGGCGCTAGTCTGGCATCATCAGAGGGGAGATCAGTCACTTTGGGACTGCATCTCTAATGGAGCCATAGAACCAGTTGTGCACTGTTTACATCAGGGAGAAATAGAATGACCTTTTGGAGAAGGAGACAGCTTTTGTCTCCGTTTGCGTCACGATTCTAGCATAGGTTGGGATTTTTTTTATTCAGGAGCTGAGCATGTCAAAGGCTTTTTGAACACATTCATTATGCATCTCAATCCAACATGGGATATGGTTGTTTACTTGATCTAGCTATCTGCATACATTATTAAGTCATAATAACAATGTTTACCTTATTTACAGGTGTATATGATTGTTTAAGGCCATATATTATTATTCACTCTAGAACTGACAGTTTTGAAATTAAACTGAGCAAACACTGAGATAGAAAAGGCTTCCTCACACCTATTTACAATATTGATAAAATCATCATATATCTTTGGAAGGATATAGACACTATTACTGTGAGTGTGACATTGCATTTTGAAGTCATTCACCTACATGTAGGTATTTTCTTTTTCTTTGAATATCAATATGGTAGTTGGCTTAATCACAATGGGCCATAACATTCTATTCAAATTCTCTCAATCGTTTTAATAGAAACCATTCCCAATTTCCAGTAATTTCACACTGATTTCTACCCAGTCGGGCAAGCTAGGTGGGGATCAACTCCTGAGAAGAAAGACGGATATTGAGTACGCTAGTCTAGGGAGACAGGTATCAGTGACACCAGAGATGACCCTCTTGTCCATAGGTGGGATAAAAATACTCCACCTCACGTTTTTGACCCTGACTTGACATGTTTTTTGATGGTATCTGGCGTACAGGGATCTATTCACAGTGGCATAACATGGCAGAAATATGCATTGCACATGCACATCCCATGTAGAGATCAAGGAACTTGTTGTTGTCGTTGTTTTTTGTTGTTGGTATAATCAAGGAGTTACCAGATGAGTCTCATGTCTTTGTGGTATAATCCAATTTGTGAATAGCAATTAGCTGATGAGTTTTACAATCAAACAAGGAGATCTAAAGTCAAAATATGACCATTAGAGTATTAAAGAAAATATAAAGGAAATTAAAACCTGAAAACATACCATTTTTTTTTGGAACATAACCCTCTTGATATTAAATAGAAAAATTTCTATTAAAAAAAATTAATTTCTGCATTTTCTACCCCTCATACTCTATTTTGTTGAAAATAAAAGCCTATTTTTAATTTACCCCAGCACACCTTTGGAGCCAGAAGGGCATTATTTGGTATCATTTTGCACACAATGAACGCCCTTCTGGTTCCAAACAGACATCATATTTCCTTTCCTTATAAGGCTAGTTACTTTAAATTTGCTCCTTTATACAAATTTGAATGCAATAGAACTCCATTGCCAAGAGCACATGTAAAAGAAGACGTCAGTGTATATACACGTACATCACACATACCAAGATATCTTCACCGAGGTGTGCACAAAAATATCTGCAGGGGTTTTGAGATCTCCTAGCTCTGTTTTTCTTCCAAACTCTGCTGGGTATCATCCCAAAATAGATCCAGACACTGAAAGTTAGCAGCAGTTGAATTTGAACTTGAAGTGGAGAGGGGGTGGGGGGAGGCAAACTTGAGCTCTGTTATCAAAATAATTAATTATCACAATGAATTTCAATGTTTTTTTTAATGTGTGTAATCCCAAACTGAAATGAGATTGTATTTTTGGTGCCTTTGTTCTGATTCCTTGTCAGCATGTGCAGTATATACAGTCTTCTGAGAATTCATTAGTGCATCCGAATGTTACAATCCTCATTTCTACCAGAAATTGTAGACACATTTCTCATTATAAAATGTGCTACTTATGTAGAAGATAGACTTGATGTATAAATAAACCTTAGTGAGAAAGCGAGTGTGTTCCCTCAGCATCCAGTCCCAATTAATGAGAAGGCCAAGGTACTGCAAAAAATCCATAATTCAAAGTTGTTTTTGTCGGCTGCAGAGGTCTTGAATGCCTTGCCATTAATTTGTGAGGTGAGGCCCCGTCTCATGCGAGCATCCCATCCTCTGCCCTGTAGAGAGTCTGTAGAGAGCTCCCTCCGACAAACACACCACTAAGAATAACAAATGTCATGAGAGAGACATATCCAATGATTTGTGTTGTGTCATCTGCCCGGGTGTAGACCCAAGTGTGTTTATCGAGAACGTAAACAGTCGATTGCATGACTTACATCTCAAGATGCTTTTCTGATTTGGTGGGGATGTAAATCAATTTCTCCTGCTACCAAACAACCCCCTTCTTACAGGACATCCTGCTCTTAGCCTTATCTTTATTCCAAGTTATATCCTGTTCCATCTCTCTCATCCATATTTTGGGGTATTTCAATCGAGAAAAACATCTCCATGCTTCTGTAGA